GTCTAGCAAAGGATTTGTGTAGTTTCCCTTCTATTTACTCACCACAGCCTTTACTATTCTTAGTTTGAGGAAATCAAGTCAAAAGTAACTTAAGCTTCTATATCATGATTTCATAGTTTAGGTTGTGTCTGCTCTCCATTAATTATATGAGTTTGACAAGTTTACTATGCTTAATTCAAATACTTAAAAATAAAGACAAATAAGCCAGAATTTCTAATTTCTGTATCAAAATAGCCCCTTCCCCAGCAAAATGTTAAATCTGAAAGCTGTTTTTAGGGGAGGTATCATGAAAATTGAAATAATGAAGAAAAGAAACAGAAAAATGTATGAAAATTTATTCAGGTTGAGCCCAATGTGGTAGAGAAATGTTAAGCAGTAATTAGACAGCACCACAAGGCTGGTAGCTACCCAGTTATCTATCAGCTTCAAATTTCTACGTTAGGAGTCACTAATGGGTTGGAAAGAAAAAGCTAGTGCCCACTTTTCTCAGCCACTTCACTTAAAATGCACAAGTCACCTCAAATGGGTTTTCTACCTACTTACTATTAGCATAATAGTGGGGATTAGTTTATTAGATTAGTGTGTTAATCTATATCTCAATGCTCAAGGGAATAAAACAGGATAAATTAAATCCAGGCTCTGACAGTGATGAACAATGGGAAACAGAAGCAGAGTAAGGCTACAAGGTCTAGGCCTAAGAGTGCTCCCAGGGGACATTCTCAGCAAGACAGAAAACACCAAAGCTTTTGATGTCAGAATCAAGTTTTAACTGGGCATGGTAGTGCATGCTTGAGATGCTGAGGCTGGAGGATTGCAGCCTGCTCTACACAGTGTGATTCTGTAACAAACCAAGTTTGTTTGTTTGTAATATAAATGATTTCCAGCAATAGACCGCTTAATCCCCCTACACAACTACTGAGCTAGGGAAAGAGACTGTTAATAACTCATTTCTTTCTATTAAAATTATGTGGATGAATGTTAAATAGTTCTCTCCATTATGTCAAGTCTCTGATCAGATTCTGGGACAATAGGCATTCTGGTATTTAAAATGAAGAAAGTTCAACATCAGCTCTGCGGCACTGACCTCCGTAACTGCTCTTCCTTACACCACCCCAGATCTTTTCTGTTTAGGAAGAAACCACTTCCTTAGGTAGTCTACTTCTACTTTTGATGAATATCAACTAATTTTTGATATCAGCAGAATGTTTTTCCTGTGTCTAACTCCTTAATAGAGTCAACAAGTTCAGAGTGAACAGCTGCTTACAGTCTAGCAAATGGACAAGAAACAATGCTGTGTTGTCCCCGAGAGTTCTCTCTAGACACGCACATGTCAAATCCTGGCATAGCTGGTAAGATTAGAGTCACTGAGTTGGCCAACTTTGGCCTACTGAGGACACAGGGTACTCTAGACAGAATTGAAGAGAACATGGAAAACAGAAGGGAAAAGATGTATAAGAAATGGAAGCTGAAGGCCATAAAGACAAAAACAGAATGAAAAGTAGTTGTAGCTAGATGGGATTTTCCTGTTAGGTCTCGGTGAAATTCCACTTTGTTAGCCCAGGGAATCTCAACCATGAGATGAACACTGAATTAACAAGGTTGGTGTTGTTAATGCTGAGGAGGAGCTTGAATTTCAACTGAAATTAAACGCAAGGGCAGTTCTTTTGATAATTCCTAGTTACTCTGTTATCTATTAAATAAAATATGATGACCACTCAGCAACTGCATTATTAAATCATCAAAGAACAGACTACCCAGCACCTGAGGTTGGAAGTGTCTGTACCAGTCTGTTGTTGCTCTCAGTTAATAAACAAAACTGGGGAGCACGCCCATATAGCTAAAATATGCTACATAAAAACTGTATTTTTGCCAGGCAGTGGTGGTGCATGCCTTTACTTCCTGCACTTGGGAGGTAGAGGTAGGCAGATCTTTGTGAGTTTGAGTTCATCCTGGTCTACAGAGCGAGTGCCAGGACAGGCTTCAAAGCTACACAGAGAAACCCTGTCTGGAAAAACAAAACAAAGCAAAGCAAAGCAAAGCAAAGTAAAACAAACAAACCAAAAAAACCTTGTATTTTCTCTTTTGTGAGCCCTTGAGGATTTCATCCTTTGTAAGAAAGGTATTATTAATTCAGTGGTAGTCTGTTAGTCTTGAACCTTACCTGCTTTCCAATTGTCTGATATATTCCAGGATGGGAAAATAATCAGTCAGCAAGAGATTGTTTGGGAACTGGCCTCAAAGTATTTATTAAGTAAATCTGGGGACACGGACACACACACACACACACACACACACACACACACACACTATACAATTTTTAACTATATGCTTGAAGTGTCAGAAGCAATATCAACAAGATTTGCAATAGTTTTCTTATCTGCCATTTCAGTTTCCAGGGTGTTAGTCAAGATCAACTGGAAACATTAAATAAAAAATACATCAATAAGCAACTTGTAAGTTAAAGTGTGTGTTTTCTGAGTATCGTGATGAAATCTCATACTACCCTACTTTGTCCTGCCTGGGACCTAAGCCATTTCTTTGTTTAATGTATCCATGCTGTAGATATTATATATACCAATATATAATATGACATAACTACTAATCACTTAGTAGTCCTTAGTACATGGTTGTTGTGATGCCTGTGTGAGGAAAGTCCACAAGTGCTATATAGTAAATGTACAGCTGACAGATCTACTCAACAAATTTGTAGGAGTATATACTCCATATGGATAAGACAACTTGCAAAGCTTCGGAACACCTGTCTTTTGGTAGTCACTGCCAATTCTGTAGAAATCTTGTGAAATCATGACGTTTCTCCTTTCCATAATGGGATTCACCCCAAAATATCCCAGCAGTGTATAAATCATTCTTTAAACCTGACTTTTCCTGTACTGGCAACTGGATACCTTTAAGCATTCATTCAGCCAAACCTTTGTTCTCTTAGTCAAATATACATAAGGCCAATCCCCCACAACTATTCTTATTGACAGGATTCACTGACAAGAAAGGAGCCCTAAGCAGAAAGACAGTATGTCTGCTCTAGCAGCAGACTCAGGAAGGTATAAATTACTGGCCTTTTGCTCTATCCTAAGAAGCTATTAATATTCTGTATTTACTCTTTACCTTGGCTTCAATCAGCATAAAATCATAGTCCAGGAAATTAACTGTTTATGCCTTTACCCCTAGAGATACAGGAAAAAGGCTTGAGTTGTTAAACGAGCCCCAGAGAAAGAAATTCTCCCCTGGGGCTGGCAGGTACCCACCCTGCTGGAGCTGGAAGCAAAGTCTCCAAAGAAATTATCTTTAACTCAAGCACTTTTTGCCTTCCTCCCAGGCCTGAGGGTTACTACTGATTACTAGCACTATGCTCCCAGCAAAAGGAAGGAAGCAAAAGTGCAACAGCACTGCTGCGTTTTCTACAATTAATCACAAAGTTCTAGCTTAACTGGTTACACTTAATATAGTCAGTTCACGAAAACACTTCTTAGAATTTTGTATTGATTCTTAATTAGCTTCACAGCCATTGCCCCTCTGAGATGCAAGGCACCTCCTGGCCAGGTCCACCCAGATTTTGTGATTCTGTAAAATGCATGCTTGGTACTATTGTTACCACCTTTGGAATTGCTGACTATGTATGCGTATATAAACTAGAAACCATGTGGGATGGGTAGAACAAGGAGGAAGTGGGAAGAGGAACAGTAAGGAAGAGCAAGGAAGCATTGGAGAGAGCATAGAAAGAATAAACAGGACATGATGAAAAAAATTATGTGAATTAATTTATTTTGTTTACCCTCAGACCTAATTAGTCAGGTTTTTGCTTGTTATAGTGAATCTTTCTGAACCCTGAGAGGTTTAATGGGCTTACCCCCAAAATAAACCTCAATACCTATAGATAAAATAAACTTTATTTTATGTAATAATGTCCCCAAAGTCAAAGTGTAGTACTGTTGATTGACAATTTGGATATGCCAAAGAGAATTTGTGAACTTGTGAAGTGCCTCTTTTAAGTGGAAAATATAAAGGCACAATAAGATCGCTTAAGAGACCACATTCATGTCACCTTTATTGCACCATACCACTTTGAGTCAGTTTTTCACTTCTTACTGTGACTAATTTATAAATTAAACTCTGTCACAGGTATATGTGAACAAGAAAAGCTATGAAGCATATGTAGTTGATCCTCTTTGCACTTTCAGGTCAGAAGACATAAGGCTGGATGCTACCTTACAGCAAAACAGTTACATGAACATCATATAACACATTCAAGAGACACAGATTTGGTTACTGTTTGCTTTAAAAAGTTGTGCCTCAAAATGCTAATAGCAGAGGGTGTTGCTCTTTACCTAGCCACAGGACTGTTATGACACTCCTGAAGTGTCTATTTCTACAAAGGCAGGGTAGGAAAAGGCACACTCAATACTTTCTTTGAAATTGTACTAGTCTGGGTATTATACTCTAAGACCTTGCTTAATGCTTACCAATGGTAAGAGGAAGAAATTATTGCTGCATTTATGTGGGTCTAAGGTTTGGGATCATTATGTAAATGTTAGTTCCTACCGGACTCAACAGTTCCTCTTCTTTTCATGCAAGCATGCTTCATTATAAATTTCTTGCTCTGGGAAAATATCATGAATTCTTTTCTGCCTGACTTAATATCACCGTCAAAATCTGGAATTAGCTTTCTGATGAATCAGCATGAAGAACTAAGCTGGGAGGCATGCCCACAAACATAGTTGTCTAAGAAGGTCTGGTGAACAGCAGGGCCACAGGGGCAATAAAAACCCAGCAGGCTCAGAGCTTTAGCTTCTTTGGTGAGTCACAGCCTGAGGAATAGGTAGTACACTGCTAAACTCACTGCAGCTTGGCCTTGAGGAGAAGAGAAAAATCTTCTCTGTGGGAAACGTTCAAATGAATAGCAATTTCCACTTCCTTTAATATCCATGCTCTATGCATAAATTTAAAACAGGCTCAGAATTACTTATCACAGATCTATATCTTACCTGGGATCACAGAGAAATTTGGTTTTCTCTCCTTCTTCTCTCCAGATAAGCCATTCTCGAAAAGAGGGGTGCACAAACATTCGAGTCATGTCTCTGCGCTTTATTAGGAACATGGAGAGATTCTCCATTCTTTGCTGAAAGTCTTCCCATTCTAGTGTGCCTTCAATGCTCCCAGCATTGATGGCCTGGAAGATATGTTCATCAGTAAGTGGGTGGAGAGACGCCACTGCCACATTCAGAAGAGGCATCACACGGTCAAAGGAAGACTGAGTTGGGAACTTCATATTGCACTGGAGTAAATAAACCTCAGATAGTGAAACAGGAACCACTTTGTAGCTAGAGCTCTTTAGCACTAGGTAGCCTTTCTCTATGAGGTCAAATGTTAGTTTCAGGTATAGATAAGACCCTTGACTGAGGGTCTTGAGGTGAGAACTGAGTTTGCCAAATGTAGTATTGTCCATCTTGCCATTAAGTGAGATGTTATTCTGAATCTCTGAGCTGCTGTGAATCCGGTGCAGGATGTAAGCCTGAAGGTCTTGGTCTATGGCTTCATTCTCTTCTAGTCGATCCAAAAAAATCCTATGGAAAGGCAGCAACTTGGTAATTTCCTAAAACAGATGGAGAGAGAGATAGAGATAGAAAGACCTTCGGTTTTCCCTAACTCTTATAGACTATGAGGTCTAGAATAAGTTCAAATTTCTGAGTGATCAATGAGGAAAACAATATTAAGCATGATATTAGGATCAAATTGAAGAACATTTCTCTCCATTCTCTTTATTCCATATACTCCTACTTTACTGAAACCTTACAACTCCACTAAAAAGGGTTATTGGATTTTAAAAAAAAGATATATTTATTTATTATGTATACAACATTCCTTCCATGTATGCTTGCATGCCAGAAGAGGGCACCAGATCTCATTATAGATGGCTGTGAGCCACCGTGTGGTTGCTGGGAATTGAACTCAGGACCTCTGGAAGAGCAGTCAGTGCTCTTAACCTCTGAACCATCTCTCCAGCCCTGATTACCAGTAATCTTAACCTTGGCAAATCAAATACTTAGCTTTCAGCTCTCCTCTTCTCAGGGTCTCAGCAGTGCTTACAGCTGACCATACCTACCAACCGCACTTCTAGAGTCATCAACAGCCTCCTCTTAGAACACATCCTCTTTTTCTTGCAACACTGACTAGTTTCACCTAGTCTCCTTTGCTAGTATCACTTTCATTTCTTAGCCCACCTCAGGCTAAGGTCTCTATTAATTTTCCTTCCTTCTTCAGTCATTCTTACTCTCTAAAAGTTTAAATATGTCAATTTTGCCAGATATGTTAATTCCCTGAGTTTTTACCCTGTATCTTGGTATATCCAGAAATTTAGACTTTCATGTTTCACAGATAAATTTAGTATGACTAAATAAGAATTATTAAAGTTTATACTCACTCACAAGACATTCCCCATGTCAGCAAATTGCTGCTGCTGTCCCTGACCCTAAACCCTTGAAGGCATCTGTGATCTTAGCTCCTGAACTCATGTACTCACCCAAACCCCAGGACTCATTCTTGTTTTCTTGCTCACAGTCACACTTAGTTTGTGTTTTTTTTTTCTTTTCCAATTTTACTATGTAGATTTGCTGGTCTTGAACTCTTGATTCTCTTGCTTCAGCTTTCAAAATGATGACATCACAGGTCTGAACTACCACACCTGGCTCATCAACTGTTTTTTAATCTCCTTCGGGATTATTTCCCAAATCTGATTATCTCACATGGTTTCTACAATTATCACTAGTTTAAGACATCAGGAACATTCACCTGTATTTCTGCTTACACTCTCCATCCTATTCCATAATTTATTATTTATACAACCAGAAGATCTTTAAAAAGGTAGATTAGATTTCATCACTTTCTAATGCTCCTTATAGGGGCTTCTCACTATCATTTTTATGATATCATTTTTATGATCAACTATCATTTTTATCTCTATACTATTTTATTTTCTTCATAGTATTTGACATTGCCCATAGTATTACAATATGTTTAATTATATTTATTTTTGTGTTCCTTACTAAAAAAGTGTTATGAAAGCAGAGACATTTCATGTTTTATTCATTACTGAATCCTCACTTATTAGGACAGTGTAGCAATACTCTAAATATCCAAGAAATGTCTATGGAAGCAATGAAAAATCACACATGATTTTAGGAAGAAAATAATTGTCAGTAAGTCTTCATTGAAAAGAGTACGGGTCTCTATCGATGAAGAGACTGAAATTTGGACTTATGCACAAAATCTAGAATATGCATAGTATGCTGCCTACTCTTTGGTATAGTTGAAAAATTAAGGTTTTTCTGCTCTATCTACCTAGACATTTAAAATTGCTTCTTCAATTATACATGATATCATGACAATATTGCTTATGTTTAAATATCAAGACTAGCGATAATAGCTAGGTGTGGTGTTACACATCTGTAAATCCAGTACTTTGGAGGATGAGGGAGAAGGATCACAAGTTTGAGGGCAGCCCGAGTAACACAGTGAAATGTTGTTAAAAAGCAAAACAAATACCAAACTTATGTTCCTGGAGATCTCTCCTATTTATATTTGAACAACCAAGCTATTATTCATTAATTAGATTGCTATGATTTTAGCTGTAAAGATTATTATGTTGATCCAGATTCTGTAACTCAAATGACCTGCAGAATTATAGTGAACATCTGTAAGATGACAGGACTAGAGGAAGCAAGAGGACAGTAAATATAATTTGCCAATATACAGGAATAATAGTAAAGGGCAGAGGAAAGGAAAGGGAGGAGGCTTACTGTGACTCTTCTGTGTATTAATAACTATAAGTGGGATGTAACAAAATAGTAGAGTGAGTATATACTCTTCAGTTCATACCTTTTCCTTGGTTTCTCAAGAACTCTATGAGCTCTTAATAATAAGAAACACTATTCTGGGGCTGGAGAGATGGCTCAGCAGTTAAGAGCACTGACTGCTCTCCCATAGAGCCCGGGTTCAATTCCCAGCACTCACATAGCAGCTAACAACTGTCTGTAACTCCAAGACCCAACACCCTCACATAGACATATATGCAGGCAAAACACTAATGCACAAAACATAAAATAAAAATAAATTATTTACAAAAAGAAACACTGTTCCAAACCACATATGAACACAAAAGAAAAGGAGCTACAATTTCTACTGTAACTGGGTAGCCAAGTATTTTTACAGGCTAAACTCCACATTCCTGATTCTTTCAGGCCATTAAGCTGTTAGTAGTGAATAGGGGAGATAATTTAAAGAAAATAAAACCTTATCTCTTGGTTGCAATAAATTTAATCTAAAACTTAATATTGCTAATATTTGTCAGAAAAAGGCATATGCAGAAGCAACTTTACATTCACACTACTAAAAACAAAACAAAATGAGCTCAAGTAGAAGAGAGGAAGAAGCAGAAAGTCCGAGCCTCTGTTGAAGACTGAACTAGATTCGGCATAACATTAAATGATTAAAAGTATAAAATGGAATTCAAAGAGTGAGACATTTTTCCTTTGCACCACTGCATCAGGACAGAATCTAAAAAATAGATTTTTTTTATGCTATTTTTTTCCTCCTTTAAGACAGATCTTGAACTCATGATCCTCTTTCTTCTGCTTTCCCAGTGCTTGGATCCCATTCTCAGTCCTTTAATGATATCTGACGACCATTTAGGAAGTCTTATCCAGAGAAATGGCAATAGGAACTTGAGAGTCACATACAGAAAGAATGTTTTTATCTAGACCATGTCTTTAAGGATTAAAAAGAGCTAAGAGAACTAGGAACTGGAACCTTTTCAGTTTAAGATCCCTACAGGGGAGATAATCTATGATTCAGAAGCAAGCAAACACATACCTGTAAACTGGTCCTAACTGTTACAATTAGTTTGAGCCAAGAAGGAAAATTTCCAATCATTTTACTCAGAAATGATACAATTGTATCCCCATAATCCGGTTTGTGAAATTCTGCTTCATTTAATCCATCAATTAAAATGATGAAATCTTCATCTGGGATTTTTCTCTCTGAGATAGAAAGAAACAAATTACTTTACAATGACCAAGTGGACAGGTAAGTTCTCATTGTGTCTGTGACCACACATAAGTCTGGAAAAGAACGTATTAGAAAAAGTCTCTCATGAGGCCCTGGAAGACAAGGGTGCATAACTTATTATAAAGACAAGCAATCATTCATTTGATGAACTAACTTTGTTATTCATCAGGTCACAGATATATGAACACATGCCTTTCTTTTCTTTCTTTCTTTTGGTTTTTTTTGAGACAGGGTTTCTCTGGTGTAATAGCTTTGGCTGTCGTGGAATTCACTCTGTAGACCAGGGTGGCCTCGAACTCAGAGATCCATCTGCCCCTGCCTCCCGAGTGCTGGGATTAAAGGCATGCAACGCTACCAGGCTTATGAGCATGGGTATTATAGTTTCAGGAATACAATATTTTTATTGTGAGAGTCTTAAAGCTGGAGCTGTGAAGACTTGCATATGGAAATCCATCGTTTTCTCAAACATCTAACAGCTAAATAGACTGTGGTTGTTTCTATCATAGCTTAAATAATTTGTGAATTCCTTAAAGACTGAGGTAGTATAAAGAACTATATGTGAATGTATTCTGGGAAGAGAGGACAGAAGAACGAATAATGTATCTATAGAAAAGTATTTTTTTGAAAAACATTCCAAATGCTTCTTAAGTCTTATTATCAAGAATTTGTACTGCATTTTCATTCTACAGTGTGATATGAATTAACACTTAAAAAAATTATACTATATGTGTGTGTGTGTGTGTGTGTGTGCACACGAAGTCAGTTTTCTCCTATTTTGTGGGTCCCCAGAGGTTGAACTCAGGTTGACAGGTTTGGAGGAAAGTGCCTTTTCACACTGAGGAGCCATATCACTTGTTCTGGATATTTTAATGGACGACAAACAATTAATATACTAATAAAACTAAATTTCATTTGCATAAATTTCCAGTCAAGTACATTACTCATTACATGAGTAAAACACGAGTATTTCTCTTTTCTAAAGTGGGGACTAAATGGGTTGGATACAGAGCTGGACAGATTTGCACACAGAAGGCCTTGGATTGGAGCTCTAGCACTTTGAAAAGGAAACATTTCTCTCTTAATCGGGATAATGATATTCTTTTAGATCCCTATGAGGGTTGCTGTCTGGGAACTCCCTTCTCCTCTTGGGAAGAGTTGCATAAGTCACCTAGGAATGCTGGACTGTGAGACGTCAACAAGGAAGCTCAAGTCATCATCATTACTTTTTTTTTTTTTAGAATTCAAAACAAAAAATACAAAGAATTTCCTAATGTTATGGATGTTTTAAAACAATGAAAGATATTGTCAAATAATTTATTTTCCTTTTTCTAATGAGGTTTACCATTTACACCCTTAAGAGAGTCCAAAGATCTTTAGACTGCTTGTTCAATCCAATTAGCCTTAAAAGGTTTCTTTATATTCATTTTTAAGCTTTTACAGAATATTAAAAGAATTTTTAAAATTAAAAAGTGAGGACAAGCAAAAATTGCTACTTCATGATTTGCCACATAGGAACATTTAAAATTCTACTACTATTTACTTTTTGGTCATGAGCCTAATCTTTAATGGCTGAGCCATGTCTGGACTGTCTGCAACTACTATTTATTATTAGAATTATTTCACAGAAAAATATTTTAACTAAAAACAAAGATACTAATTTTTATATACTTTTAAAATCCATATCTACTTCCACTCAAACCTAGATAGTTTCATTTTCTTATTTTTCATGAACTAACAGAAGACTTTAAATTGTTTGATCCTTACAAGTCATTGCTCCAGCTGACAAGTCACTGGAAAGTTTTCCTAAGCCCTTTGACTCCTGTTTTAATCTCTGTAAATAACAATCGCTGGGTATTCCTATTCTTCAATAAACCTTTGGAGTCTTTCCTAGTAGTCCCGTAGATCCCTGGGATAAATAATGATTAGATACTGCGGGAGAAGAGGAAGCAGCTAGAGCTGAAGTCACACCACCACTCAGGAGTTATTAATAAAGACCCACAGGGCATTGTTTTGTTCATCAGAATTGTCTTTCTTTAATTATGATGCCACTTTCTCCTTAATTTCATATTGGTGGTTAAAGTAAATGCCTATTGAGAAACTTCAAACTTTTGGAATCTATAAAACTTTTGAAAAATACTGTCCATTTTTTTTAAAAGGAAAAGTGTATTATTTGAAATCTAACTTCTGACTATGAAAAGTATTTTCCATAAAACTTTTTCTGAGAGAAACTTTAGCTACCTCTAAGAATAAAATCTGATGAGCTTTGGCAAATATATATAATCATGTAACCAAAACCCTGATCAAATTAAAGAATGTTTTTGCTATTTAAGAAAATTCCTTTCAGTTCCCTTCCTGTCAGTGCTTAATGGAGTAGCCATTGCTTTGATTTCTATCACTACAGGCTACATACATTTGTTTCTTTTGATCAATATAACATTTCTGAGACTAACATTGTTGAGTGTAATATTTGTTTATTTATATTACTAAGAAGAATTTTATTGAACAAATATACAATCTACTTATTTACTATGTTGATGGACATCTGTATTTATGTACTTATTAGGATGGTTATATGGATGTTCTTTTATTGTATTATAGCGGTTAACTTCCAAGTGTTAACTAACACAGCATTCCTGGACAAGTAGAAACTAACTTTGTTATTAGCTTTTTTCTTCTTCTACGATTTTGTTATTATGGTCAAGAGGAATAATGGTCTATAATCTATTTTTTTTATTTTTTAAAAGATCCTTATGGCTGACATTTTGATGTCAATCAATGTTATGCTTGCCTGATTCCTTTTGAAAAACATCTGTATCAAACATTTTTTCTCAAAATGTTGAATATAATCACTAAAACCATTTGAATCTACAGTTTTCATGATAGAAAGTTTTTTCTCTTTTAAATTATCATTAGATTTAACTGATATAATGCTAAATAGTTTTTCTATTTCTTCTAGAGTTATCATCTGGTAAACTGTGTGTTTGTTTTAAGAACAGCCATTCTACTTTAGTGAATTTGTTGAATTTTATTGTTATGAAGTTGTTTATAATGGTTTCTTTTAAAAATGTTTTATGAATTGTAGTGGTACCAGCCCGTAATTTCTGATGTTGGTTCTTGAACATTCTCCCGGAGACTTGCTTATCCAATTTCACACCAGCTTTATACTGTGGTCATTTCTGTTCTTTGATCACTTCCTTCTTTAAACTAACCCTGCAGATTTTCCTTAAATTTTTCTAGGTTAAGTTAGAAACTTACACAAGTGATTTTATATATTCACTTTGAAATATTATACATTCTTTGTATGACATGTTATTTGACCCAAAGGTTATTTAGAAGTAGATTAACTTATAAATATTTAGGGGTTTTATTGTTATCAATTTTTAATTTAATTCCATTGTTTTAGACAACATTGCTGCAATATTTCAACTTTTTGGAGTGTGCACACCCATATATGCAGGCCAGTGGACAACCCTGGGTGTTATTATCTAGTTGCTGTCTACATTTTTTTTTTTTTGAGACCGGCACTCTTACTTGCCAGGGACTTGCCAAGTAGGCTAGATGACTGCTAGTGAGCCCCAGTGACCCAGCTGTCTCCTTCTCCCCAGAACTAGGATTACAAGGTTATACTTCTATTCTTGTTTTTGTTTTTAAACAGGTATTTGGCATCAAACTTAGGTCGTTAAACTTTATGACTACACTAGCTCCCTAGACTTTAACTTTGATTTTTGTTTGTTTTAGAGGTAGGACTGGACTTCATAGTCCTCCCACACCAGCATCCCAAGTACTGCGATTCTTAGCATGCACTACCAGACTTGGAAAATTTTTAGAATTTTTGTGACTTGTTCAGAATACAGTTCTGATTATAGTTTATATTTTCTTGAAGAAAATACATATTCTGCATTTATTGGGTAATATTTTGTAAATACCAATCAGAATAGGTTGGTTCAAATCTTCTGTATCTTTAATTTTTCCCTCTACTTGTTTAAATAATTACCGAGAGGCATTAAAATCTCCAACTTTAAGAGGGTATTGCCTGTTAAGCTCTTTGATCTGTTTTTATTTATGTTTCTGAAATCGTGATACTGGGTACAGAATTTAGGATTACTATATCTCATGACGAATTGGCATTTGTGTCTATTAATTGTTTTTACTAACACTGCTTTTCTAGAAGTCTATTCTGACATTAATAAGCTACTCTAGATTTCTTATGGCTTATGTTTTACTCATAATTTTTAAATCCTTTCATTTTTCAGTTGTGTCATATTTGAGTAACTGAGTAGACAACATATGGATCAGATTTTGTTCTTTATTCAGTCTGAAAGTTTCTGCATTTTAATGTACTACTCCATTTATATTTTATAATTTTAAAATATGAATTGCCTAATATTTCCTATTATTTTGTTTTTATTCTTTCTTTTTTGGTAATCATACAATTTTTAATGTTTTATAAATTGTTTTCACAATTGTTGTTCATGACTTTAAGGGTGAGTAGAAATCCCCAGAATAAGAAGAAGCAATGGAACTCACTCAGGGTTATATTAATAGGGATATCTAAAGCTGGTTATAGAGAAATGAATGAGTAGTTATATCTTATAATTATAAACTGTGTTATTATGTTTGAAAATTTGGAGCAGACTCAAAAAATATCTTTATATTCTCTTTGAACACCTATAAAGCATAGCTCTTTTTATCACTGCCCTTTTAAAATACTCAAGCAGTGCCAGGCTTGGTGACACATGCCTTTAATCCAGGTATGGGGCATGGAGGGAGCAAAAGTCAGTGGATCTCTGTGAGTTTGAGGCCAGCCTGGTCTACACAGTGAGCTCCAGCACAGACAGCTACACAGAGACCCTGTCTCAACAAACAAAACAAAAGCATGCACATAGGCAGTTTCCTGTATTATGCCCCTATTCAAAATGCATTTCCTGAAACATCTATCATGTTCAAGGTAAAATAAGAGAAATGATAAAAATTGAACATCACACTCCACTCGAGCAAGGTTCTGTAAGCTATATTCTGTAGACATCAGCTATGGAACATTTAGCTTTGGCAATATAGTAAATATAATCATTTCTGTATCATGACCCAAGTGATGAGGGCTCCTCAGGACCTCATCTATACCTTTGTGGAGGTTCTCTAGGGGTTCTAGAACTCCCCTCCGGAAGGAGGCCATGGGGTCTTGAACACAGGACCGGAGGCTTAGCATGCTTTGCAGGTGAGGTTCCCGAAGAAGCTGCTCCCGGTAAGCTGTCAGCTGAGGTGAGCGGCAGAGCAGGGCAGCAACATTGTGGACGAATTCTGGTACCAGGCAGGTGTAGGCATTATCTGCTTGGCAGTAGTGATAGGCAACCACCTACAGAAAGATGAGATTGCAAACAGGCTTATCAGCAACTATGGTTACCATATGACCATTCCCTCAACACTGTCTTTGGTTTCTCTATTTCCTCAATTTTTTTCAAATAAAAATAAAAGCTGCTAACTCAGTTGTATAATTTATGCATAGTCAAAATTTATATAGAATATTTCCATTGTATATATTTATAATATCACAATATGAAATTAATATTTATAAATAAAAATGGTATACTCCTAAATTATAAGAAACAGGAAGCAAGACTGAGAATGAAGATGTATATTAATATTGTTAGCATTTATTCAAAACAGTAGTTTAAAAAAGTCTACTTTTAAAACAGCATTAGAAATAAAACAATTAAAGGAAAATCAACAAATCCACATGCTTACATCACTTTTTAGTTACAGCTGTGCTTTAGGATAAACCTATAAAATAATATATATTTAAAAATTATCAGTAAATATTTTCTCAAAGTCCAGACAGAGGCAAAATACCAAAATTAGATAAAAGGGAAGGAAAGAGGTGAGGATTTGCTAAAGACGCCTCTTAAATACTAAGAGTTCATGAGTCTTAATAACATTGAGGTTCTGGGATTTCTGGCTTTCTGTTTTAAGCTGTTTGCTAGAAGTGTGCAGAATTTACTCCATATTGTCTGTTCTGGCTGTTCTTTTTGCCTTAAGAGAAAGTACAAAAGAGGGTTTCCTTTTTCTTTCTGATAGAGTTGCAGTATGAAACCAAGGTTGGCCTGGCACTCCTGATTCTCCTGCCTCCATCTCCAGAGTATGCCATTATGCCTCGCACAGAGAGTGGCTCTAACACCGCTCAGAACAGTGATGGGACACTGCAGAAACCAAGGCATCAATAGGAGAGATTCAGCTTAATATATGGAAAGAATCTGACACGGTGCTCAGAAAACAGTAAGAGGGAAATGATATTAGTGATTTCACCATCACCACTTCTGCGCTTTTCTTACCCATCATCGCCGTCATCAACATTCTGTATGTTCAGTTTAGCTACTAGCTTTGTGCCTATAGATAACTCTGACATCCTACTAGCACTCACGGATGTACTGAGAATGCTTTCTTCGCTACCTCTCATAAAGGAGTTCTATTATGAAAAAACTTCTCATCTATAAATGTGGTCATCTCTTTAATACATTCTGAAAATGCCAGAATTAAACAGTTAAAAAAATCATTCTCATTAAACACAAAGGAAATCAAACATCACAGGAGTCATTATTGCATATTTAAAGCTAATGACAGGAACTGCTTGTAAATGAAACAATGAGGTCTGAGTTCAATAAGGGGACTAGAAATCAGAAGTTGTACTGGAAAAAGCTCCACTTCTTGGGTACATTAGTCCCTGCTTTATTATATATCTTAAAGACAGTATAAGAAGCCCAAATAGAAACCTTGCCCTTTCAGTCAATGGTGAAGCCAGGGGTTATTGTCTAGAAGGCCACAAATCTCCATATGATTAAAAAAACCAGTAAACTTTTGAACCAATATATAATCACACTATATTTTGCTTCAATGATTCCAGAGGCCTTGTATAATTTAATTGCTTTTTATCCAACACAATGGGGTATCATTTTACAGATAAAGAGAATAAAATTTAGAGAGTTTTCTTTTTTGCTGATTTTGTTAATAATCATATGTGTACTTGGATAAACAAGGTTTCATTTAACAAAGGTCAGGGTTAAAGTTATATTTTCTAAAACTGCTTCTCTTTTTAATTTTAGTATTTAGCCTTCAAATATAAAGTCTTGATTTCTTTGAATAATTCAGGTAGAAAATCAATTCAACAGCTTCAGGTTTTCAAGGTGTTCAAAATAGGTTACTAACTACACATTTCAAAGTAGCTATGTAATATGTATATAAATTCCATCAAACTATGTGATAAGTACTGACATGTCTCAGTCAGATAAAGTGCCAGCACCCATGTAAAAACAGTTGTGTGCCAGTAACCTCAGCGCTGGGGAGGCACAGATAAGGAGATCTCTGGCCAGTTACTATAGTATATCAGTGTGCTACAGTCTCAGTGACAGACCCTGATTCAAAATAAGATGAAGAGCAACTAAGGAAGATGTGTGTCTGATGCCTGTGGAAGCCAGAAGAGGGTGTCAGATAACCTGGAACTGGAGTTTACAGATGATTGTGAGCTGCCGTGTTAAGTACTGGGAATTGAACCCAGGTCCTTTGGAAAAACAGCCAGTACTCTTAAGAACTGAGTCCTTTCTGTAGCCTCGCAGATTGTCTTTTGATATGATCTAAAACTTTTCCTATATATAAAAACAGGACGCAAGCCTAGACTATGCATTTTTTCCATTCTCACACTGTACTAGTGATCAAAGGCACATTTGTACAGCAGTCTACAGTGTTGAGGAAGTTATTATACTTGATTTGGTTACAGCTTCTTGAAAATGGCTCAGAATCAATCTGCCTTAATAAACCAACAGGCATAACCCTTTTCCCTGGGTAGATTCTTATTTCTCAAATCATTGTCTTAATTTCATTTACAGCTATGTCTTTCTTATGTAATTAATTTTTCCACCACAAGTTTTATGTATGTTAATTATCTCTGAAGGAAAATAGTAAGTAAATGTGCTCTTCTTTCAAGGGAAGAACAAAATGGGAAGCAGGCAGGCCACATATACTAAAGGATGGAGGTCAATATAGTATTTTGATTGGGGGCTGATAAAATGCTACTGGGGTTACTGCTACAAAGCCTGAAGACCTGAGTTTAAGTCTGAGACTCACAACTCTCATATATTATCTTCGACCTAGACACTTGAGCACACACATAATAAATAAATGTAATACAGTATCGGAATATTCTGATTGGGTAAGAACTATAGCTCCGCAGCAGAATGCTTGCTTAGCAGGCATGATACCCTGGTTTTCATCTCTAGTACTGCCAAAGGTGGAGGGAGGCAACTTTTGATTTAATGTTACATCCAGTAAATGATAAAACATATCATAAGTCTTATCAAAGAATTGAGTGGCAACAAATCTTCCAGGTTTGTGTTAAAAGTCTCAAGACTTCACACATCATAGTGCATTTTCTACTTCAAATAATACCTATGGAGGAATTAAGGTAATCTCATACGATGGAAGGGCAGTTTTGAATATATGGTATCTATTTGGACAGAAAAACATCTAGCTTAGATAACAAGTGGCATTTGTATCTTTTAAATTCTAGAGTTACAACAGCTCTTCCTTTAGGTCAGTGCTAACATTTGTAAGCCTACTCACCACTCAATACTCTTGATTTATTTATTAGCACTATACTTCAATGCTTAAGTCAGTTTAAACAAGCAAACAAACAAACAAACAAAACTGAACTCACTATGTACATGGGGCTGGCCTTACAGTGATCCTCCTTATCAGCTTCCTAATAGTTGAGATTAAAGTGTGAGTCACTGGGGCTAGAGCGATAGCTTAGTGGTTAAGGGCGCTGGCTATTTTCCCCCATGACCTGAGTTCAGTTCCTAGCTTGTATGTGCCTACTCACAGTAATCTGTGATGCCCTCTTCTGGCCTTGTTGAAAAGAGCACACTTTGCGGTACATAGACAAATATGTAGGCAAAACATAAAATAGAATGTGTGAGCGACTACCACACCAGCTACTTTAGTATTTCTAGGGATCGGAAAGTTCACTGCAAATAACTACTTTATCTCCCTTTATTCTTGTTTCTTAACTCTGATTCTAATCTTCACTCTGGGACTGGAGGCTAAAAATAGTTCCCAGATTTGGGTTCTGTTTCAGTAATTTTCCAGTTAAAAGCCCTGCCTTTTCTTTTTCCTCCTCCTTTTTGTCTTAAGCAATGAGACTTTTATTTTTCAACTTGAACTCATTTTAGACTTACAGAAATGTTGCAAAAGTAGTACACAGAGCTTCCATTTATTTCTCATTTGGTCTCCCTTATTAGCATTTTATATAATTTCAATTATAAAAAGCCAGTAAATTAATATAATAATTTTACTAAAATCTAAATAACATTTAGTAATCTTACCTGAAGACATTACTCAAATATAAGTGTTTCCTTTAGGTCCTTACCTATTCAAGACTCATCAGGGACCCCACAGAGCACATTTCTCTTTAATTTCCTTTCATCTGTAAAAGACCTTTAGTCATTTTACACAACTTTGATGTTTTCAAATATTGACTAGTTATTTTGCTGAATGTCTCTCAGTTTGGGTTTGTCTGATGATCTGAGACATTTTCTTGGGATGAATACCATAAAAACACTGTTGTGTTCTTGATGAGTCATGCCATAGGTTTCAATGTTAGTATATCTTGCTATTGATGAGACTAATCTGCTTTGCTTGGTTGAAGTTAAGATTCTGCAACTGTAAAGTTGCTTTTTGTGGCTAAAATATCTTAGAAGAGAGTCTTTTGAAATTATGTAAGTCCCATTGCTCTCTAAATACTGGCTCATTAACTTTGCTATCTACCAGTGGATTTCTTCTGCAGCAGTGATTACTATGATGCTAAAAGATTTTCAATTTCTCTTCTTCTATATTTGTTATTTGGAACCCCTCTGGAATGAAGAACTGTCCTTCTGAATAAAGCATGTTGCAATTAATTATTTTAGGCTGAAGCATAAACTATACATATATGTGATTACATAAAACCATATACTAGTGTGTGTGTGTGTGTGTGTGTGTGTGTGTGTGTGTGTGTGTGAATGCACACATGTAAAGTTGGAGAAGTAAAGATGTTTAACAACCTTTAATCTTTTCAGTGCTGGGTACTGAACTCAGGGCCCTGTGTTTGAAAGTAAGCATTCTATTACTGACCTTGTTCTCTATTACATCTCTTGCTCTCATGTGATTTCTCCTCTCTGCCATGACAATGCCAGTCCTGACTGGCTTGGAACTTCTGGCTTGGAACTCCTGAGCCTCCTATCTCAGTCTCCTGAGTGCTAGAATTATAGAGTACACCAACATCTTCAGCCCATGCAAAGCTTTTTAATGAAGTCATTTGGATTTCACTAA